TCTTGGGGAATGGCTCTTCCTCAGCCACAGCGACTAGCAGAGACCTGCGGGCTCCTACCTCTGGGCAGACTCCTGACCCAGCCGGTGCTGCAGGGCAGCTCCCAAGGGGCAAACCTTCCCCTTGTCCACTATGGAAAGAAAGGTGACCACTGCTACAGGTGGCACCAACCCCCAGGAAGCATTTAAAACCTCCTTTGTGTGGTACAGCAAACTTGCTTTTCAAAGGGCCCCATGTTCATCATGTTTTTTGCTGTAAGTACTATAGTGCAGAGGAATGAAATAACTGTATTTTACAAGTACTGAACTGGAATTGCTCTCTCTAAAGTTTGAGTATTGGAAAATATACTTTTTTCCTCTAAACAACAAGTGCTGGACACCAGTGGATTTCCCCCATTTTAATCTGAGCAATAAAACTACCCAGTTCATGCTATTTACTTCTGCTTAAAGATACGTCAGCCTTAGAAGGTCAAATTCCTACCTCCCTTTACAAAAGTTTAGTCTAAAGCACAGCAAATCCACATGTTCCCTTTGCGCTGCACCCTGCACCTCGTGGGCATGCGGCAGTCACCAAGCTCCAAGGCCAAGAGCCCCGAGCGCAGCAGGCCCAGGAGCTCCAGCAACCTGTGGGAAGCAAAGACAGAGCACAGCCGTTAGCCACAGCCTTCCCAGCAGCTCCCAGTACATCTGGAGCTCCTCACAGGAGGGGGTACTTATGTCACATCAGCTTATGCTTAAGGGCAGCTTCTGGAAGCAGTTTGGGTGACCAAACTGGGACACAGGGTGCTACACGATATATGTAAGGCCTTGGGATCCCCACCAGCACCACCACCACTGGTCTTTGGGGGACTTCTGGAGAAGAGGAGTTTTGCCTGAAGGTATCTTTGAACCTTTAATACCAAGTGCTGCAACAAGAGTACACGTTCACAAGATGTTTCACACAATTTTATTTATAAAATTGCAATTATCTAACAAATTGCATATAAAATGATTTACTTCAAGTAATACAGAATACTGCACAACTATTAAAACTATTATATTGTCCATTGTAAATGTATTAAAACATTCCTAAAAAATGCATCTATTAAAAAACGAAAACCCAAGAACACAAGTAGCATGACCAAGACCACTTTCAATAGCTTAAAATGAATACCCAGGAAGTTGCACCAAGTTCCCAAGTATACTCCAGTTACATCCATTGAGATCAGCATGTGATACAATACCACAGTCTAATGCTAAAGATGACACATATAAGTAACACATATGCACCTGATCTATGCTTTTCTTCTAGGCTGAAGATGATCAGTCTGAAATCAGACAACTAAAACTCAAGTCAAACTCTACTGGCATGCAGTTCTGTTATAGCAATACTTTCAATCAGTAAGTGTGGCTGGCTCTTACAATCAATTTTACAACTGATTTTTTTTTTAAAGAAAAAAAAAAAAGGAACACAAGAGAATACATTCATGTGAAAAAGGAATGATACACAAAAGGTAAATATCAACACCTCGCCTTACGCCCTGGGATGATTCGAGGAGAGAGATCCACTCAGAGCGTATCTGGAACATACTTACCAAGAGGAGAGCGAGCCCTAAGCCCAAACCCATCTCCCCAGAGCTGAAGGCAGCATCTCTGCAGAGAGCGCAAGTGAACGGACACACGGATGGGGCCACCCGGGCAGGCTCCTACAGCAGAAGCCCACAGGATGGCTGGCAGTGCCCGCTACCAGTGGTGGTGCCTATTTTTATACTGCATGTTAGCTGTGAAAGGTGTTTGCTCCCGCGAAAGTGAAAAGCTGGTTGGTAACAGACTTAACTGAGGAAACAATATGAACGTGAGGTCACTTTGTTTACTTCTGCTTTGTGACCAACGAGACTCAAGCACAGAGAGATGAAAAAGCTTCAGGGAAAGGAACCAAACGGGATGAGGAACCTGGAAGCTCCTGACCCCTGCCCAGGCCTAACCTTTTCCCTATGGGTGAGCAGGGCTGCCATCCCCTCGCGCCTGGGAGGTGCCTGCACAGCAAGAAGGACAACAGGCTACCAAAACCACACGAGAGCTTCTCTGCCCATCACTGTTACCCAGAAGCAGTCTTGCCCTGGGTGTATCTAGAGAAGTAAACACACAGAGGAACGTTCAGGACAGTAGCGATTCTTAGCACCATCTTCAGTCCTGCCACAAGCGCTGGCAGCCCCCCGCGAGGGGCAGGGCGCACGGCCGGGGCCCCTACGCTGCACAGAACCAAGGAGGACGGCGGGGAGGCCCCGCTCTGCCAGGCGGCAAGGGCGGCCGGGGTTGCCCTCCTGCCGGCGCCAGCTGCAGCGGCCGGGGAGACACTAGATGGCGATGGAAGCACTCCCGGCTCGTCCCGCCGCGAGCCAGAGCCCCATGGACCATCCCAGCCCAGCGCCCTCTCATCCTGGGCATCTGTCCTGCCCCTACGGGCATCTCGGGGGCAAACAGCAGCCTTGTGCTAGGACCATCTCATTTGCATGCTCCTATTTACATTTCCAACACTATTTACACACCAGAACGGCAGGCAGCGCCCCTCTTCGAGCGGAGAGGAGGGTCAAGGACAGAGCGCACGGGGCAGCCAGTGCCACGGCTGCTGCTCACCGCGGCGCGATCCCAGTAAGGGGTGTTGGAGCAGAGATCTCTGCCACTGCTCTCACAGACGTTCAACACACAGACACCTAAACATTCACTCCAAAAAAAGGCCAAAGCAAGAAAGGCCTGTGAACACAAAGAGAACTTGAAAGCTGCAATGTTCTTCTGAGAGACTCCGTGGGGGATTCAGAAGGGGCCTCAGGCCACAAAGCGTTTCCTGGCTGGGGAGAGCTCAGACAAGCTCTGCCATGCGGCCGCCCCAGCACAGCCCACGGGCGCCCAGCAGCTGCAGCACCTGCCCCAGCCAACTGCACCAACCCCCAGCGCCTCCCACTGCGTTTCTGACCTGGGCACCCAAGCTGCTGGGTGGATGGTGCATTTCCAAGAACTCATTACCCAGCCTGTAGACAAAAACGTGGGCTTGAAAGGTGCAATATAGGCAGTTAATCCTGAACATTCATTATACCTCCATCACACACAAGTATGAAAAGTGAGAGAAAATAATAGTAGCTCTTGGAGAGAGGGGACATGAGCACCTGCAGCAGTGAGGATAAGCTCTAGAGGAAAAAAAAAAAAAGTTCTTATTTAGTGCTTTTTATCAGTCAGTCACTCTGCGACTCTGCAGAAGTGCTGCACATTTGCACACACACCTGCAAACGGCAAGAACAAGATTTCCTCACCTCAGAGAGCGTTTACCTTCCTATGAGCCTGGCCTGCCAACAGCATTTGCAGCAGCCTGGACCCGGGAAGCAGCGCGACGAGACAAGAGGCCGACGCAGCGCAACTGCAGAAATTCAAGTAGAGGAACAGGAGTTACCTTCAAGAAGCCCATAGCAGCAACAGCAGCATTCAAGATCAGGGACAACAAAGGAATGTTTCTGTAACACGGACTTTTATTTCCTCCAATTCAAGGTGCTGGGTGATAACCAGGCAAGGCTTTTGGGTGGCGGGGTGGCTTGCTGAGCCCTGGTTACCCGACAGCTCCCACACCACTTTCCACACAAGCAGTGACCACCTGCCTGTCCTGCTGCTGCCAGGAAAGCAGCTCCCCATGGTGGGGGTGAAACCAACCCCAGGAGCAACTTGGGTTGAGGAGCAGCTAAGAAAAACATAACACTGCAGTGGGGTGGAACCAACTTTATTAAGGACAGCAAGTTATAATTGCTTTCAACGGCTTAAAAAAAATTGCTCTGAGTCATGGCTGGCCTTTAACAGCAGACACCAAAGGACAGGGAGGCTGCCCGAGTCAGAGGCAGCCGCGGGAGGCAGCCAGAGGAGGATGAGGTACCGCTCAAAGCCAGGAGGGCGACGGGACTATCCGGGCACCCAGGGGACACCCACGTAGCCACCACAAGCCTTCGGAGGGGGAGCACACAGCCCCGTGGGGCTCAGAAAGGCAGAATGTGCAAGGAAATGAACTCACGCGCACACGAGTCAACGCACTCGTTTCCTCTGCTCCATGTATGTCACTTTAGGAAGCTGCTCCAAAAGATGTAAGGCTCCTTACAGGAAGGTGCCATGCACCCCTCTTCCCGCTCCACCACAGTGGGAGCCGGCAGCTCGCCGTTCTCAGGACTGGCTCAACAGATACTGAGAAGGGTCCTACAACAAGCAAAATTTATACAAAGTGCAATAAAACTACTCAAGCCACAGTTAGGTGTGTACGTTCATTTTCTGTAAAGAATCATCGCAAACTCTAAACTGAATGGAGTCCGAACTAATTCTTCTTCTACTATTTGTGCTTTATTCCAAATTCCACCATCTTTTCTCCAATTCAAAAGGGAATGTGCCTTGGTTGATGCTGATCCAAACATCTGGTTTAAAACTTTTATTCCATTGCTTCAAGAAAGCTTTTTGCTGCATTCAGAGCAACCAAAGGGATACATACACTTAGCAAGAATATTTTCACCAAGGCGATCATTTACTCTGGCAAAAGCTGTTCTCTCCAACTTTCAAGGGAAGGGGATATGATCTTTCCATAATCTCATGCACTTACCAATAAATAAGTTTGGATTAGACTGTTATTAAAATATATGCACAAAGTTAAAGCACTGGAGTGCCACAGTCTCTTACAGCTCATGCAAGTAAAAAACAAGTTAAAGGAGAAAAAAGAGAAAAAGAAAAAGAAAAAAAGAAAGACCAAAGCATCGGCTAGGAGCAGACCAAGGAAACACCTTTAGAGAAGTTTTGCACAAGTATAGCAAAGTACTAGTATTAGTGAGATCCCCAAATACATTAGGTAACACTAATTCCAGAAAAACCAAAGATTTAGCCATATCAGATACATATGTTTCATTTCTGTTAAGTTAATATATAGTTCATTCTTTGAACAATATCATTCACTTGGACCACCATCCACACTGCTTTCATACATTTTATAGTTATATCTCATTATACCTTCAGAGGCTGATGCCTACAGCATGGCAGCAACCAGAGGCTCTGCAACCCTTGCTTGTCAAATATAAAACTTCTTTCCCTTCAGTACAAGGGTGGAGAAAGGAAGAAAGATGCTGATAAAATTAGGCAATTCTCCCTGCGAGTCTGCTGATTCCAACCTCAAAGCACTATGGAGAGATGGTTGGAAGCCTGTGTAAAAAAAGTTTTCCCTTGTTTTAAAAACAATTTCATTTATTGTACAATAGGTGCATAGAAAGTTGCTTTCTGCTTAATGGGTTTAGGCCAGGAGCTCTCTTTAGTTGTGAAAACAAGACTGTTCCTTTACAAAGTGGTGAAGAGCGAGACCATCTCAGGAATATTTGGCAGCTATCAGGAGCTCATGACACACAGAATAAACAGCATATCCACAAACTACAATGTAACTCTGTCCCACTGAATACACCAATTTTAAAAAGTGTCCACATGTTACTCAGGATCAAGAATACAGTAGAGATTCACGGCTCAACAGCTTTCAAAACGGTGGTTTGAAGCGAAGAAAGTCGTCAGTGAGCAGCAGATTTTAAGACAGCCCACTCTTCTCTCCCCCGCCCCACCAAAGAAACACGAGTTCACCGCAATATCAGGAACTTAAGAGTTGAGACTACTTGGGAGAGAAGACTTCCCTGTCACCCATGTCCATACAGCTTGGTGTCGGAGCGACACACTGGAGGTTTCAGAGGGTTTCGGTTGTCCAGTGTCTTGTGTGGTTATTTCAGCAGTTTTACCAGCTGGCTCTGACAGCCTCAATGTCACTAACCAAATTCTGGGCTAAGCATATCCCAAATATCTGGAAGAGACAACAGTTTATTCATTTGGAGCATTGGACAAAGGCCTTTTTATATAAGTGAACTCCTTAGGTTACACAGATCTTTGATATTAAAAACAAGCAAGCAAAAAACATAGACAAAGATAAAAAATTAAGTGAGCTCATTCCAGGGAACCTGATGTTTACCTGCAGTAGAGCTATCCCAATGAATATACCAGCAACTATGGTAAGATTGTCCTGCAGCCACTTCTCAAACTGTGGGACGCAGCCTTTCGTGTAGATAACAATCTGCTGATCGACTTCCTGCCGGGGACAAGAGGCAAGAACAGGGTGATTACACCCGACTCTTCCACCAGCAGAGCAACTCGCTCTTGCAAGAGGTGTTCAGATCTTTAAGACAGCACACGAAAAGGAACGCTTACTGGTTTCTGCCTTGCATCGTAGCCGCACTGAGTGTTAATAACATCTTCCTAGGAGGAAAAGAGAGGCAAATGAGAAAATGTCTCCAAAATATCCTCTTATATCCCACAAGTCTGGAGAGCTGGAAGACGATTACCCCAGCTTTGGTCGCAACATTACTTTTCTAAAAATTCATCCCTCTTCCATTCAGTGCCACCAATTATTTTCAGCAAACAATATCACATATTCAAAGTACACTCTTGGCTCTTGGGGCAGAAGACAAACGAAGACCCAGCCCTCCACCTGGGGCAGTGCCACGTTCCGGATGCATACAGCAGCAAGTCAAAAAGAGGGACTAGAGAACATTTATTTTTTGCTGAAAAGGCCTTGTCTGAAGATTCGTATTCCAAGACAACTGTTAACATTTTTCAGGGTTCAGCCTGCACAGCAAGAAACACTGTGAGACAGTGAAAAAGGGTAGATCTGTTGACAAACCTGCGAGTTCTTTCAGAGGATAAGTTTATCAATATACACAGTACCTAGCTCCTTCCCAAAGCCAAGAGAGGGAGAAGAGACAGTAATATGTTTTCCTACTGCCTACTCCTTCTTACAGGGGCTTGATACATAGAGAGAAGGAGTTTCTTCCTGCTACTTCTGATTTAGTGCTCACAAGGCACAGGAAATAAAGGCTGCAGTAGATTTTCCCCAGTGAATAAGCACTAGTGAATAGCACAAGTCTGGCAGCACTGCCAGACTTGCAGCCTCTCTTCTGGACTTTTTAAGTATGAAACACTCTCACTTGTTTCTTACAGAAAAAAGTCAGCCTGGTTACATATGTGGGAGTGAAAGGGGAACAGGATGGTTCACGGGGCCGCAGGAAGCGTAACTGTGCCCACGACGTGTGCCCCACCGCGTGTCCAAGCCGCCACCCCAGCGCTACAGGCTCCCACTTTTAGCCGGTCGCTGACCCTTCTTAGTTACTGGGGCTCTGGGGGTTGGCCATAATGGCAGCAAAATAATCAGTTTCTGGCTCACATACTAGCAATGTGCAAGGAGCTGCTCAAAGAAGTCAGAAAATAAGCCAATCTTAGTCAGGTGTACTGAACACTAAATTAAATTGCTAAAAAAGCAATCCAGCAGACATTGCTCGCATCCAGCAGACACTGATTAGAAACAGCAGTCATATGAAGAAAATCTATCCCCTCTTCTGCAGTTAAGGTTCCATAAGCGCACGTAGAAAATGTGTCAACACATATCGTGCCACTGCATCACCAGATCTTTCGATGCCTCCCATCAGTTTCCAAAGTTGGATTCCCTCAAGAGACCTTCAAGATTGGAATACTTTGCATCTTATAATGAGACAAATGCTCCTATTCCAGGATTTGTACTAGCAGAGCCACCCACTTCAAGACTGTAAAAGCAAGTAAGAGTTCCATAGATCCATTTAAGCTTAATCCTTTCTGTTAAAGGTCTCCCTTACCTTATTAAGGAAGTCTTCTGCTTTTAACCTTGGGATTTGTTAACTAGTCCAGTGTACTAACTCAGATGGGGTAACAGCACACAGACTGAAATCACAGTCCTTGAACAGTTACTCCCAGGGCAAAGGATGAAAATCACTACAGCAAAGGGGCTGGTTGTGGACCTCCACAGCACCAAGGGCCTGAGCGAAAGCCCAGTTATGTAAATTATATTTCCATGCCTCTCTTTCCGGTGCTATAAGGGACTCGGATTGTCTGGTCCCCATCAGTATCCAGCCACATTTCACAACACTGACCACACTAAGTGCTGCTCTCAAATCACAGATGGCTGGGCAGCTGCACATGTTCTGCTTTCACAAGGGAAAAAAACCTCCACATATCACCGCAATCAAACCAGTTGCAGCTTGGTTACAATTATATCCCTGACTGGATAACAGAGATACTAAGAGCGTTGCTTTACAATAAAAAGGAGCGAGACTTATCTTTAAATTTCTGGTTGCTGTATCTTCTCCCAGAAAATATATAACCACACACACAAAGATTCGGAGACAAGTTTAGTGTGGACTGCTTATTTATAGGATTACCTTAGAGTGCTGTCGCTGGTTTGGTTTTATAACAAGTATATTTTTAAAACTGGGTTATGATGACCTCTCTGTGTGGTTGAGTGGGCTGATGGACAGAGGGCGGGGGAATCCTATGCATAATGTAATGCCTGAGCCTAACCTACTTTCCAGCTTATCTTGTTAAAAAGCAGTGATGTTTCTGAGGAAGATTCGAAGTGCTGCGAAGGCTCGCTCAGTGCGGAGGAACCAGCATGCAGCTCACGGTAGGGGCAATGCCTCGGCAGGGGACTACAGGGGCAAGAGGAGTGACTAACGCTGGGAGCATCAGGGGCAGAGAACTCTCAGGGCAGCGATTATCATTTATGAACATACCTAGCTCAAACTGGGTCAACCTGGCTGCAGTCTGCGGACACTACATTAAATACCACATAATATCTGCTTTGGACTGCTTGATCTTGGAACTGCTGTCTTTTATGGAAGAGGATGCAACACCCTGATGATGTCCAACTGAAAGGCTTCTACTTCTTATATTTGCTAGAACTAAGAAGTACGTTCAACCAAGCCAAGCCAATGGTTTTAAGTTAGCTTACGGTTTTGCCTGACTGCATGAAAGCTTGCATTTAAGCTGAAATGCAAGTCAAAAAAAAAAATAGTGGGAGAAAAGGCAGAGATGACACATGACTTCAAGAGGACACTCTAATGCAGTGATTTAAAACGAGAACAGCAGAGCCATCCTGTCCCCTTGACTGTCACTTACGGCAGGGTCCTTAGTGCAGCAAGAGAAGGGCACCCCACAGCGCTCTCGGCTTGCATTGGAATCGGTGCAGTTGAAGTAAATGTTGAGGTTCCAGTCATCAGCCCCGAAAGCCCCGCAGCACTGCCACTAGAACAAATGCACAACAGATTGACTTCTAGCACAAACTCATCTCAGCACTAATAACATGCATCATGGCCATCATTTGCCATCCAGCTTTCCAAAAGGAACTGCAGATTCCCTCCGGTTTCATTGGAGCTGTGCTTTAAAGGAGAAAAGCAGAAGAAAAGGAGCACTCCAATTGGGGTGAATTTGGGGGAATCTTCACCTGTCCGTGCACTGTAGGCGTTTCCTGCGTCAGCACATTACGCAGACAACATCTTCTTTAGTGCAGGCAGGTAGGATTCTTCAAAAATTGAATGAGAAGGTCAATACCCCAAGTAATTGAGTCTCCAGTAAAACATGTTGAAAATAAGAATGGACTAGATGTCAGGGGGCACTGATAGTTTGTATCACTAGAGGCTCCAGTCCAATTAATCCTTCTATGTCAAACAGCAAGCAAACAAACCACCAGCACAACAACAACAAAGAACACACACACACACCATTATATTTAAAAAGTGTTGGACTTGCAATTCCCTCTGCAGACGTAGCACTGTTTTGTTTTCATCCCCCCCACAATACCTGAAATGTGCTGTCTTCAAGCATTATCCCCACCAGCTAAAGAAGCAGTTTGCCCTCCAGACGTGCACTGTCCTGGATTTACCTGCCAAGGCTACTAATCCAGTTAGGAGAGCAAGTTTGATTATGTGGTGCCAGTCTACTATGAAATTGGGCCTTTTGGTCACATACCCACGGACCACTACATTCATGCTGGGGTGACCTCGGGCATTCACCCAGCTGGAACAGATCCAAACCCAATGCAGAGGACTGCACCCTGTTACTCACGTTCCCTGTCATTTCCACTCCCACCCTCGACATACAAAAACAGATGAAGCATCAAATAAAATTAATATATTTGCAGTATGTACACAAATAGACACATTTTCAACCACTTAGCCAGCTGGCTACGCAGCGCCAAATTCAAAGAGGATTTGGCAGACACAGGTCAAAGGAGTACTGAAACCAGAAAGTATTAGCAGAATAATTTGTGCATATAAGTCTTTATGCACTGCTAAGGTAAAGCTTTTCAGAGGCACGCACATCTCTGGCTTCACCTTTTCTCCCCTAAAGTGCAGGCACAGTGTCTTTTAGAGATTTCTGATGAGGACTCATGGCCCAGTTCCAGTTAAGCTGAGTGTATTAAGTCTTCTTAAAAACCCCACTAGTGGCACATCTCTGTCATGCTGCAGCATGGTGTAGCATCTCACCTCTAACATTGCTAAGATGTGAACATCTATCTCAAAACCGATTAGCTTTCCGCCAAGCTTGAAAAAGGTATTCTAGATGTGACAGTTCCTACAATAAAACGTTCTGAAAGCGCCCCTTAAAAGCCCTAAAATATCTTTAGACATGCACATGGAGTACGCTCCAACAAGCTAAGCACAAGATTGATAACAAATGGTAGATTTGCACCATCTCTCAACATCTTCAAGAATAATTCTCTACCATAATTATTTCTCCCAATTATAATATCAGTAAATTAAGTACCTGTCACAGCTGCTGTCTGTTTATAGAAGTTATGTGAAAAGATAAAAGATTACATGTATATTGTACAGTATCATGTTCTAGAATGACTCTGTTGTACCTTGAAGAAACTAGACAGATGGGAAGTAAACATGGAGCATGCATTTCTTTAAGGCAAGCATAAAACACACACAGTCCAACTTACATATTCCTGTGTAAAGTCTATGAGGTTTTGCAAATCAATGTCATCTCGGTAAGCTCTGATGTTGTTGTTTATAAAGAAATACAGTTGGTCCTTGATCCAGTCTTTGAAAACAAATGCTAGCACACCAGCAGTGAGCTCCAGGAAGAAAATAATTCCAAGGAACACTGAAAACTATGAAGAAAAAGAAAAGGTTAGAATTATTTTAAGGACAAAAGAATTTTAAAATTAAAAAACACACTGTAGTATTGGATTCTTAATTTTGTCATGCCTAACAAATAACAAAGGCCAACAAATGCAAATTCAGTAGCTACAGTAGGATACTTCACTGGACTTCTCAAGAGATTTCACTGTAGATGTCCCTGGAGATGCCTACTTGCCACGTGGAGGGCTCTCTCAAACTACTCCAGTTTCTGTATAGAGATATTTTCCAAGGCATGAAACGGCTTCCAGTGCCAACAAAATGCTTTAAGTGACTTTCTCGTTAGCCATCCTTATTGGAGAAGCTTTGCATAAGCACGAAAGGCAAAAATTGGTAACAGCAGAAATTAATGACCAAGCCAGAGTGGAATGTCTGTGGAATGACTCACATCCACATTAAAACCAAATGAGGCTGCTATGATTAATGCAAATGCAATGGATGCCAAAGGCATTACTAATGATCTGTCACTTTCAGCATCTCTACTGAGGCTATGCAGTGTTTTAAAGCACAGAAAGCCCCTGCTACATTGGAGCTCCATCCCTTTTCCAAATGCGCCTTTGCGCTTCCTTTAATATGCTCGCTGTGTTTGTTCAGATGCATTTTTAATTTTTCCTGCAGCTGCTGTATAGGAAGCTATTTCTGGGACAGCAGATGGGTTCACTTTAGGCAAGCTAAGAGAAGAAAGGAAGAGGAAAAAATGCTACAATAGCTTTTCTTCTTTCTCCTTTATTTTCTTTTCCAGCGAGGCAAGAGCAGGGTAGAACCATCACACGCTGCTTTATAAATGCCTCATGAACAGTAACTGTCAACTGCTTCTTCACCCTCTACAACACTTGCCTGCAAGAGCTGGATACATGATCTGGAGGCAGTTGTTTTGCTGGAAGCCTTTCTGTGTGTCTATTAACAGCTCTGGGATGTGAGGATGCAGACTAATACCACCCAGGCTGTGCCCATCTCCATGAGCAGAAGAGTGTGGGTGCAGGGCGAGGAACCTTGAATTCATGATAAATCTGAAATTTGGCTAAAAGGGAAGATGATACAGTTGCCCTCAGAAGGGGTCCGCCAAGATCAAGCTTTAGCTAAAGACGTTCTGGATAGCAGTGTATGTCTGTGTACGAGCAGTGCTTTCTCCAGCTAACAGGCCAGCCCAGAGCTTGAGGACACAGCTCCTATCCACCTTCCCTCCCCTTGGCCGCCAGCGCTGCTGCTGAGCACCGAAGCCCTGCGGAGCCAGCCGGGCAGCACGGAGGCAGGGACGCGAGCGAGCCAGCCCCTTCACAGCACACACTCATCCGCCCCGGACCACGAGGGCCCCTCGTGCGCCACATGGCTCCCATTCAATGGCATATTTATAGCCCTCCCCATTTCACAGGCAGCTCATTATGGACTCTAAGTTCAGTGTGCAGATTCTTAACAGAAGTTTCTCTCCTTTCAGCACCAGATAGGCAAAATATTAAGCTATATATGAAGAGCAGCAGTCCCATGTTATGATTCCTACCATTATATGATTTTTCAGCTTCAAAAACAGAACCAGTTCAGCTCTTCAGCATCCTTGCTGCGTCAAGTGTTCATAGTTAAACAGAAATGGAGAGAATGATACTCTGCCACCAGATAACCCCCACTCTCTCCCCACCACAGAGATTTTCAAGTCTTTACAGAGGTAAGCAGAAACAAAGAATATGATTTATGCTACGTAAGGGATGAATCCCACAGTTGCAAAGGCTACTTACGAACTTGAGCAGAAAGGTATTTTCTCGCAAGGCTCCAATGCATCCTGCAAATCCCAGAATGAACATAACTCCTCCCACCACCAGGAAGAGCCAAACGGGATCAAAGCCTCCCAGGTCCGTGATGGAGGAGATATTGGACAGCACTCCCTGGAAAAGAAACAATGCCAAGGCATAAAAGATATGTCCAGCTTTCTGGGCGGCAATTCCCACTTGCATTTTTCTTTTTTAAAAGGTAGATATCTACGGCAATAAGCATTCATCAGTACTGCAAGAAAACTCAATTAATACAATGTTGGCATGCATAAAGAGATAAAAAAGGCCATTATGTACAATATTTGCTGAGTCAACACATGGAATGAACAGCAAAACGTGCTTACGATGGAGTCTTTTGCAAGAAAGTCACTGGGTGCTTTGCTGCATTTGTACTTGCTCAAATTATTCCACCAGGAAGTCAGTGTGGACATCTGAACAAAAATGAACTCTATCTAACTCAAGAGGGAATACACTTTATGCATCATATGCATTGTTTATATAAGCATGCAGGTACAAATGTTATGATCGAAAGGTGAATAGTTACAACATCTCAATTTAGGAAAACTTTGAAACTAGTATCAAAGCTAGTATGCTCCTAACAGGACCTCTCTAGCAGGCAGGTTAAGGACTCTTCTTGGGAGTTAACTTGCGATAACTTAAGTCCGATCTTCCCACGCTGCCTTTAGACACGACAGTCAGCCCTGGATGCTAGCACTACTTTTAGCCCTGCAAAGAGGAGCTTCGACGGTGGTGCTTGTAAATGCTGAGCAGTGATTTCATTTCTGAACACATTTTAACCAGAGTTTAGCTGATGTTGAACAGGTGGATCATGGCAAGGGGCAAATACAGTCTTCCTTATTCCAGTGAGCTTGTACAGGACAGTTACAGTCTCAATGTTAAAGTACAACACTAAACCAAGAGCATGAATGACAGTCAAACCAGATTTCTCTTCCTCCTACTGCAGGAGGCTATGTTCTGACAGACAGGGATGGGGAGGAAAAAATAAATAAATTAAAAATCACATTCATCCCTTCCCTCCTACAGAACTAGTCTTATTGTCATTCATTAAGCCAACAAAAACAGAAGAAAGGAAAGGCATGAAATAACAAAACGCTGCTGAGGCAGCGTTGCTATCAGAGCAGACTGGTTGGCGCGCTCCCACTTCTAAGAAACTAGCGATGGGGTGGTACTAGCCAAGCTGGAATGAAGATTTAACCAGCCATTAACACTTAAATCAACTTGTGAGCAATGTTTCCACTCCTTCAGCTTCACTACATATGCTAGAAAAAGCAAAGGCATAACTTTCTGGCTAAAAATGAAAAGCATCAAAATAAACAAATGAGATCAAACCCACAAATCACCAAAAGAATCATAGCCTTGGATACATGCAAGTCAGGAAACACGAGCTCTGCCCTAAGAGAAAACGGCTGCTGTAATGACATCTAACCAAGTTTCGAAGTCTTTCAGGGCTTTCCTTCAATGCTTACAGATGGTGTAAGATCACAGGAAATTTTGCCTTAAAGCAAACACTCCTCTGTCTATTTTAACATTTGCTAGATCTTAATGCACTTTGGTGTATCAAAATATATCAAAACAGCCACTAGACAAACAGTACTGCCTTTGTATTATGATTCCTTTACTAAAACATAAAAATTAAAGAAAATCCAGAAGTACGAAAAGTCTCTCTTTCTAGCTACTCAGCATTGCCCAGAGTAGCATAGAGTCACATATAACGCACCCTGCTAGCGCAAAGTGCGCACTGCACAGCTCTAGCTTGTGCTCCTCTGCTCACTCCCTACATCCCAGGTTATTGGCATTCTAGACGCATCTCGGACATCCCAGGACATACAATCGGCAGCAAGGTCTTGGCAATAGACCAAGAGCTAGCAGCAGGCAGAAGAAGGCCGGTAACGCTCTGCAGTTACAGCTGTGGATGCACAGAGCTGTTCTGCTAGAAGATTGCTGTTTACTGCTGAAACACGGCCTGCTCATCCTCCAGGCTTGTCTTCTTTCTGGGCACTTACAAATAAGCTCTCTGAACAGAAACAGCAGTGTCACACTTTAAAGCAATGCATCTTTTGTTTCCAGTAGCAGGGTAATAACGGAGAAGTATTCTTTCATATTATACTGTTAAAAAGAACTAAATATGCGCCCCTTTAAGCACATATGTTTCCTATGTTTAGAAACCCAGTTTGGGTTTCTAAAATCTCGGTATTCAGGTGTTTTTTTTTCTTTTTTTTTTTTTTTTTCCCCAACCCCCCCAAGTTATGACAGCTTATTGCTGGGACAAGTTTGGCAGAGATGTAGAACAGCCCAGCAATAGTCAATTCCATCTTCATCTCAACTTTACCCCAAATTAGAAGGGGCTGATCCCAGGGGTGCCAGAGCACAGGAACAGGAATCTCCCACTCTACGGCTGCCTATTCCAGGGGCATGCTCCAAATCCTCACACTGAGTATCTGCTCACATACGATACAGGGACTCTTGGCCCACTGATCTGTCACAGGAGCACAAAACCTAAGCAGACATCTGTAAACCCTTTAAAGTCATGCTTGCTACAAACGCAGCCTTATGCTTCTGGGGCATATGTGCATCCCTTGCTTGGTAGTTTAGGCATAAGTATATTCTTTATTTGGCAGTAAACACTTTGTTTCTACAGGGCTACACACTCTAATACTTTCCTTCCCATAATGGCATCAGTCCAGGGCTGTGCTGTAGTCCCACAAGGAGAGGTAATAGGACATGTTCTCTGGCCAGTCTCCAGCTCATCTGTTTGCTCTTTTCCCCCACTCTCCATGGCCTGTAGTACATTAGAGCACCCGGGCTATTATTTAGACTTTTCATCCACACAAAGTCCCAGTTTGTCTGAGGCAATGAAGGAACTAAAGTACCGCCCATAACTGAACTAAAAATCAGCGATGGTAAAGTTATGAAAAGGTCCCTTAACTTTTGACACGTGTTTGGCTCCAATCTAGAGGTTCTGATGGGTAGAGGCAGGCACTCCATAGGCACAACTACAGGCTAGTAAATACACAACACAGCAGCACACCCGAGCAGCTTCTCACGTCATGAAAACTCAAGGCATCTGGCTTCAGAGACATCTTGGGAAAAGCACCATGGTGGGGAACAAAGCCTTTCCCCAGTCTCATCCAAAGGACTTGGAATCACAAGCTCACAGGAACACATGGAAGAGATAAGAAAATAAAGGAACTTCCAACTGCATTATTTTAAAATGCCCCTCTACTTTCATAGGCACAAAATCCCCGCAGCTTCCCCATGCTGCGCATCTGAATGAGCAGGGAAAGAACAATAGTCATGGAAATAGCCAAATTAATCCCATTCCAGAATTCTGTCTCTAAAACAAACTAGGTGGGGGATGTTTACAAAACTGGCTTCCTTGATTTGGTGTTGGTTTTGCATTTCCCACAGCAAACAACAAGAGTGGCAGCGCTTCATTTTCTAAATATCTCGTAAAGGAGGAGAACTAGCCTAGCTTCTTCATCAAGGGAAAGCACAGCTCAAGAGAGGTACAAATGCAAGTTATAATTACACTTTTATATTCTAGAAGTTGAATCACTGGTAACATGATTTTAAAGCTTGTTTAGACACTGCATCAACAAATTCTGCGCACATTTGCAGATTTTTTTCCCCTCCAACTAACTCTATCTTTACCACCTCCTACTTAAAACACCCTAAAATCCCAATATCTTTCCTCCTAAAAGCCGTCTCTCTCCAGACAGTCTTACGGTCTTGGAAGGGAAAGCCATTTGCTGTGCTCCAAGCCCAAGGTTAGTGTGCCCGAAAACACAGCAGGATTGAGCCCCGCAGGACACCCGTGTACCTGGGGTTGCTGCGCCCCGCGCCAGCTCTGCTGCAGCTCCGTGGCTGAGCATGCCATCAGTCCTGGTTACACGGGCCTATGTCACACGCCCTGGGACAAGAGAGCTCTTTTTGCCCACACCACCCCCAAGGCGCTACAGAAGGTCACAGGACTGTATGTGGAACTTGTTTCGCTAGATACCAGGGTATTTATTATCATGTCCTCTTAAACCGTTTTTAATCAGATCCTGAAAGTGGGAAACTAATGTCACATTGTTCTTAAGCAGGTAAAACCATGTCTTAGGCCAATTGTCTTATTCTGCAGGTGTATCGGCCGCAAGGCAGCATGGATAGAGCTGAATTGTAGAGCTTAGGAGTGCAGAGAAGCTTTTTCTTTTTTTTAAGCACTGTTTCAAAGATGACATGATAATAAATACCCTGGTTTCAAGCAAAAGCATGAGCTTTAGCTTCTGGCTACTAGCAATCATGAACTGAATACATTTCTCACAGGAAATGGGCCCCCCTTTCACACAGGAGGCCCATATATTAACAACCTATCATCCCACCAGAACACCCTTTGGCTGTAGGGCTGGTATATTTTGAACTTCCAACACTAGACTATGGCCATCTTCCTTTTATCAGTTCATTGAATCTAAAGACTTATTTGTGCTACCTACTGAAGCAATACAAAATTTCTGAAACTCTTTCTTGGAAGTCATGCTGATACACCGCAAGCCACTATTTGAGGCTTAGGCAAAAGCTCTGAGAGTACATTTGGAAAAATCAGATGTGTCTTTACATCTTTGTTGACATTTTAAAAAAATTACAGCACCTCCTTTCAGGCTTATTCTAGTCAACATGAGTTTCATACAGTGCATATTTTATATAAAAAATACACATCTGTGTATATGCATAGATACACACACTCACACACACTCAATATCCTATTGCTAGCACTGTGAATTGCTATTTATAACTCTCCATATCCAGTATTCACAGAACCATTAGATTGTTCTAAGCTAAAAACTTACTTCCGAAACAGAAAAAAAAATTGTCCTGAATTTAAATGGCAACACGCCAGTGCCTCCAGTGCTTTATTTTGTTCTGCTGCAAGAGCCAGGTACTCTGCCTGAAGAGAACATAGCATCATTTTGCAACTTGCATAGTGTTTTCCGTTAAAAAGCAACCTGACTTTTGTTTTAGCTATTGCCTTTTAGTAAGCCAAGCATTTCAAGCAGTAGCCCAACTGATTACAGCTTGATATTTTATCTCCTTCCCAACTCCTGCAGCAAGCAAACTAAGAACACAGCTCTGGTTCACAAAGGTTCTCCCTCCCCACTCCTTTTCTTGCCATTTCCAAGTTGATTTCACAGTCTCCTAACAGCCAACTGCTCTGGTGGACAATTTTATTTGCATAAGAAAACAACAGTTACTTTGTCAAGCTCAGATCTGGCTTGCATTTTTTCCCTTCAGAGGGAGGAGGTGCTGCATTTTAAGAGAAGCAGCAATTAGCACACTGTGCTCAGCCATGTCAGCTGGGGCAGCCCCCACGCAATGCCGGGACACGCGCGGCAAAGCAGTGCTGCCAGCACAGCCTCTGCGCAAGGCTGTGAGTGCCTGGGCTCCAGTTAGGGCACACACGGAAGGAATCGGCTGCTTTAGGCCCAAGTGTCACCCGTGGTTTCTTGCCAAGGCCTTCTCGGGCAAGGTGCCCGGGTTCCCCCTCAAGGCAGGGCAAGGCGAGGCTTTAGTCCACAGTGAAGTTCCACTGTTTTGGTAGAAACTTGTGTGTAGAGGGAGAGTTCAGTGCAAATTTGCTTACCTTTTCATTCCATGCCCACAATCCAATCCCAAGAAATGCTATGCCAAGGAACTGAAAAAAAAAAACAGAGAGAAAAGAAATGAGTACAAACCATGAATTTATGGATGCAAATCCCCTTCCTGCATATGCATTGCCTCAGCCTGTCCACCAAATAATAAATTTTATCAGGAGTTTGGGGGCACACTGAGACTTTGACAAAATGTCCTTCATTTCACACGCTGTTCATTTCACAACTCAAGCATTAGCAGTGTGGGAAGCTTGCTCTGCCCAAACCGCAGGGATGTTCCACATACAAAGATAGTAATTCTGCCATCAATCTGGCAGTTGTGCTCGGTGGGTGGTGGATAACTCCACTGCAACATATTATTTCGCCATTGTATTGCCCACCACCCGCCCAATACAGCTGGTCCTTGCACCTCTCCCTCCTGGGTGCCTCCCTGGGTAAGACAAAAAAAAACATTAGAAGAAAGCACTAAATATACATTTGCTATCAGTTTTGGCAATGTTGTCGGCATGAACCGGGGAAGTCGCTAAATAGCATAACCCAGGTGTTCTGGAGGAGATCTTGGTTTAAAAGAATCAACGAAATCAAAAACACAAAAAACATTCTCTGACTTTTTGTTTCTGAAAGCTTCTGAATTTCATAAGAGAAGTTACAGTTTCTACTGCTTGCTTTCTCGTGACTTTGAAATAAGCAACCTCAAAGACCACGTCTCCCACCACGATGGAATAAGCAGCAGTCACTACAATTTTACTATACCCCCTTTTTTTCCACTGCACTCAAAAGCCTTAAGCGCACTGTTCCCCCCACCTCATTCACACACAAAGCCCCAAAGAGCAGGCTGAGCATCTCCTCTCCCAACACTGCACTACCAGTTATAGCCAATGCTAAAAAATCCATATACATTTTTCAGCATCTCTATCCTACTTCAGTAATGCTCACTTTTAATATTGTGAAAGGCTCCTCCTAAAAAAAGGAGAAATCTAGATTAGGATTTAAGGAGAGCAGCGTGGGCCTGAGCACATCTCTGAAGATGCAGCTCTCCAGCTTTCATTATTCCTAAGTGACCGCTGAAAAGCAAACTCTCTGCGGTCTGGTTTGAGGCCATCTACTGCAGTGTTGCTTGAACATGAATCTCTGGTTTTCCTTGTGGTTTCTCCACAACGCGGTGCCCTGATTCATTTTGGTGCAGCACATTTCTTTTAAGACCTGTGTAAACAGTTAAGTATCCTAATGATTTTTCTTTTGCAAAAGAGTCCAAAAGTGTTTTGTACGATGAGGTGGGAGGAGGAAGGAATGATGACTTGAAAAGCTTTCCCAGAAATGATTTCAACAGCTTCAAAGAGGGATTCCTACTTCCTTCTACACATGTTGAGTCGCAATTTTAGCTTATACCACAAGTAGTTGTGCAAACTGTAGCTCAATAATAAAAAGCAATGAAGTTCTTCATTGGGTTAAAAAGTACATTATCAAATACTTTGGACACAAATTTCATAGACTAACAATCTATAGTGAGGAGAGAAACCTACACCACAAAGATTTATCCCTGCTTTCTCAATTCCCCCTCAGACACTGATTCACAGAACCGAGCCAGGAATTCAAGCTCACACAATGGTCACCTCTAACACATGCAGGCTGAGCTGCTTCAGCACAAGCAGCAGGATCTGCATGGAAAAGCCAGACTGTTGGCCAGCAAGCCCTGAAGCAGCAAAGAAATTGTCCTCCAGGAAGAAGCTCCAACACAGGTGCCCAAAACACCACTTGGCTCCCATGCTGGCTGCTTCCATGATGCCTCAGGGGACCATCATTGCCTAACCACGGGAGTGTCCAAGAAGGGTCAAACATGCACCACAACGTAGCCCTTCTTGACCAGCAGTTCTGTTTTTCTATCTAGGTTTTATCTTGTATTTGATCCAGGCAATTTCAGCAGCCCTGTCTATACATTACGAGATGGATTTGAAAATACAGTTTCCTGCAATCTACCAAGTAAGCCAAAAAAAGGGCATCTTAACTGTATCTAGAGTGCTTCTTTTTTTAAATGGTTTTACAGCTTACCAGAAAAGCAAATGTAATTCTTCTGACTGGAATGACTATTGGTAACTTTATCTCAAGTCACACGAGTTTCCAGGCCCCTTCAGGCAAACACAGTAAAACTTTTTGCAGTAACAGCTTTCCCCCTTTCTTACACAGCCACAGGCAGCAAGAAGAACAGAAGTGGGGGAAAAAGAGCCACAAATTGCATTTGGAAGTGATATATATATATATATTTAATTTATATATATATATACACACACATACACACACACACACTTTAAGGTATAAGACACATTTTCTAACTAGCTTCATGTAGTTTTTAACAGAATGAGCATGGAAAACTAGAACAAACATTTGAGCATCTGTATATATATATGTAACTTATAGCCATATACACAGGCTGCGAATCTAGCCCAAATCCTGAGCTAGGGAGCCCACTGACCTAACCCCCTGCAACCAACCTTGGTCCAGGCTTGCCTGAGCACAGTCTGCTCCAAGGACGAAGCACGTAGGAATGCTGTGAGTAAATAATCCCCACTGGCAGAGGAGAGCTGCTCCCCAAGAAGTGTATGCTTCCAACCAGGATTAACTCTGGAATTTGCTGGCAATTATGAAAGAAACTTTTGAGGAGCCTAAAACAATAGAAAGCACTTTGCAGAAGTCTCCCTGCCCTGCACACTTGCAATGCCGTAACTGTTTCCAGTCCTATTCTGCTTTCTTTTAACCAGAGGAAAACTCTTTGCAGCCTAAACGCACGGGGAGAGGAGATGCATACACATCTTCTCAATTAAGTTCCCCTAATTTCATTTAAACCCATTCAATTATTCCAATGAGTAATAAAAAGGTGGAAGCTTGCCTCATTATCTACAAAGCACTTCAGGGGAAAACAGACTCCATTCTCCACAGACATCTAATAAAACAGTTTAGCCTGGCTATAGTTGGCCACTGACTTTTTTAAAAAAAAAAAAAAAAAAAAAAAAAACAGGGTGCAGAAGAATATTTGAACATTCCTCTAGGGCACTGCAACAGCACAAAGGACTTGCATAATAGTACTCAATCAACCATAGCTTTTCTGCCCATAAACAAAGAAGTATGTATTCAATTTTTTCTTCTGGAGAAATATATATGTATTTAAGAACACAATACGCAGTAATACTTCCTTGTAAGGTTTACATGCAGTTTTCAGGCAGAGATTGATGGAGAAGTGCTTCAAGCTGAACATATCCTATTCCGAGTCTTGCTTCCAACAAGGAAAAGGGTTCTTGGCTGCCAGGGATCCGTGATTATACAGAACAGAGTTTCATGTGAAAGGTGCTGGGGTAAACAGCAATGCAAATATTAGCTACAGTTCGAGAGAGAGGCAGATCAGTTTCACCACAGAGTTATCAGATGTCACTTCACGTACTGTATTTTTCAATTCAGCTCAAATTAAGTAACTCAACCCCAGTTTTCAGGCCGGAGGAGGACAGCTGCAGCCAAGGAGCAAAAGGTTGCTTAGTCCATTAACCTACCAGGTGGATAAGGCAGTGTATGCCTGTGGGTAACCACGGAGTTAAACAACGGGTTATGCGAGAGGGAACGATAGTGCAGCTGCTTAACTTCCACCTTCACTGCACCAAAATGAACACACATTGTGCCAGAAACATGCCAAAACCAG